GAGCAGGTATTCAGCCCATTGGAACGCATTGAACGGGTTTTCAATGCGTTTCAATGGGATTCTTTCATTTCGTTTGACGATGTTTTCGCTCTAGAGTGATTCCGCTGGAACGAATTAACATCCTCAAATGAGGCACCACTGTATTATGTAATATCATAATGTATATATTTAACTTTAAAAAACCAAATAGGTCTGTGTCATTAGACTGGTTTAAAACATAAATCAGTGTCATCTGAAAGAATAATCATTTGTGAGCATTTTTTAAAAAACCTTTCTGTGTTCTATACTCTTTTATGCTTACCTGCCCTCCACAGGACAGTCCTTTGTTCATAATTTGAGTTAAAAGCTTTTGAGAATGAATGAGATTCTTGCAGGCAGTCCAGTAACTTGAACAAATGTTGAGAAGACATGTATTTGTACATTCCTTGGTCTTCAGTGTCAATGTGAATGTCTGTATCTAGTGCATCCCTCTAAGGAGGAAAATCTAGTTAAGCAGGAGTACCACAGGAAGCAGTAGATCATCAATATTCCCTATATAGGGTATTACAGAATCTTCACAAATGCTTTATCACATGGAAGGCAAGACTTCAGACCTGCAGGCCTATTCTGTGTATCTGTGTTTTTAACTATATCCATAAGATCCAAAGGTCAGGGGCAAAAGTGATCCCACCTTTAACTAAAAGGAATGGTGGCCCCAAGATTTGTTCTAATTATTCAAAATAAATTGACTTCACAGTCTTGCCATATAAAAACAGCTTCAGGTCATCTCCCTATACTTTTTCAAATGCCCACCCATCAAAATTGTACCATACTAGTCTTATCAATTGATGGCTGCTTTCTAGAACAGCGCTTGCAAGAGGGCAGATTTGGGAGGTATTGTTTCTTCTAGTCTGCTGCTGAGACACATAAAGACATCCTGCATAGGAATGGCTCCTTGCCCATAAGAACTGTTTTGTGGGAAAAAAGCTGAACTGCCATTCAGAGGTCCCTACGATTCTAGGTAGACAGAGAGACAGGTTTGTCTAAGTTTTTCTCACCCAGCTTCACCTAATGTGGTATAGTTTGACATACTAGAAAAATGCAACCACCGTGAAGGCTGACATTATATTTGAAACTTTTTTTTTACCTGAGCAGCAGCCATATGCTCAGCATCTTCCTTCTTGCTTGTTGCTGGGTAAAATACTATGTTATCAATGGTCTGTATCAATTCTAGCTGTACAACACACTTAATGAGAAGGCTGGCAAAGAGTTTCTGATCTGAAATAATATCAGTATATTATGTTTTAGTCTAAAGCAGTTCTACCTTTGTGTGCAGACACACAAGATACATCACTCCCACTTTCCACAGCCCCGTTACCCCGCAAAACATCTTCTCAAGCATATTTTATGCAACATTCTTTAGCAACAAGTACCACATGGCACTTCTGAAGCTACTGTGGTATTAACAATCTGTAGACAGGCTCCATGCCATTTATCGTAACATACATTTAAGAGGATCCCATGGTTAAGCACAGATTTAAAAAAAACTTTGAGTGTTACATCAAAACTCTTTAAAGCTCTTGAGATGAACAAAGCAGTTGACTTAAAACACAAATTAGCATTACTTGACTTTGAAAAACTGATCAGTTAACTCAAGATCTACACAAAGAGCACCACAAGGGGCTTGAAATGATTATGGATTGCCATTATAGTTTTCCTAACATAATACAACTGCTTTGAATCTAACAACTAAGGCACGGGCAAGGTGGCAACAGCAACATCATAATAGACACATAAGAGAGTTGAGAATATCAAATGCCTAGATGGTTGAACAGATAGAGTGGCACCCATGAGTACCTTTTTGACCCATATGGATGGGATCCAAGAGGATCGGAATGAAATCTGAATAGCTGTGATGTACCGAGCTGATACTAAAATGCAGACTTACTTGAGTAAGGACCACCTTTCCAGCTCTCATCAGTAGGATTTGAAAACTGGCTCTGCCCTCTTTCGGAGGCATTTTTATCAATACTGCTTAAAGACTGGCGGTCCAGGTCCACATCCTAGAAATAGAACAGAATCTGTGCTAATATTTATCAGTTTCAAGATAATACAGTGTAAATTCTTCAACCATGTATTAATTGATCAAGCAGCCCAAATGCATGTATTCTTATTGTTGTAGATTATTGCTTTTTGATGCTTTATTGTTATGAACATGTTTGAATAAGATCCCATAGACCCAAAAGGGAGAGGATTTAACTACTACTTTCACACTAAATGTCTGCAGACATGCAACTATCATATATACAGTATCTGCATTTTGTATAAATGTATTTCAGCTCAGGGGAAAGAAACTAGAGCACTTACCAAGTGTCTTTCAGATGAATCATCTTCCATTCCTGCTGGCCTCCATGTCAGCAAGCTTCAAGGAAGAAACATGCATTAGAAATACAAACCGAATTTGAAACTGTGTGGCACACTCTACATTTGGAATTACACTCACACATGAGGAATTGTAGTTTTGAAGATCTCTAGCATGCAACTGCATGTTTGGTCCCAGACTGCAGGGCTGAACTTTTGTCCATTAAATATCACCAGGCTTTCTAGGCAGTTGGTACCTGATCGAGCCAGCTGTTCATTATCTGTAGAAACAGAGGAAGCTGCTTAAAAACATTCCTTGTCTGGATAAACACAAAAAACATTCCACTGTGACTAAATGAACAAAGCATCAAACATTAATCAGACGTCTAAACAGCCTTCCTGGACTGTAATTCCATGTTTAGTAGTACTGTATGTAGCAAATACAGGACAATAGTACAATATGGAAAAATGAACAGATGCAGATATAACATTAATTCCTCTTTAATCTGCACCCTGTTTGCTCCCTCATCCCTCCTCCAGAGCAGTTTCCCACTTCATTACCCCTGGCTCCACTTATAGATGCATGAATGCAAGATTATGGTTAACACAGATGACAACTTCTTCGACAATCAGGATCTGGCGCCACTTCAAAAATATTTGAGTTGACTTGGATCCAGCAAATTGAATACAGTAGTACCGAAATCCAAGGGGCAAGTTAGTCATGATTGCATTCCAATTAAAATCAATGGCACTGAAGTTCAACTACATGAGCCTAGGTTCAAATCATAGGTTTAACACTTTTTGTAAAAGAATCATGGCTACAATTAAGTAAAGTTGCACGTACTTTTTTTAAAGCTATGGTTTCTGACAGGAAGTGGGGACACTAATCCAGTGTAAGGCAAGCAATCAAATATGCTATTCTGAGCCTGGTGCCCGATTCACAGAAATCTGCCATTATGGCTTCATCAAAGCAATATGCTGGCTCTGCAGAAGTCTTTTAAAAACTATTTTATATGCTCAGTCTGCATATGAGAAGTGAACTAGAGTGATCTCCACTGTCTCATGCAAGTTGCAGCCTGTGCCTCCTTGGGAAAACAGACTAAGACAATGAACATAAAAAGGCAGAATTCCAATTTCTCCCTTTCAGACCATGTGCACAAACGATCAGACACGATGGAAGGAATCGGAAGCCACTACCAGTACATCAACAGCAATTCTTTCCCACTTCCCATTACAAGTACACAACAATGCCATATGACAGTTACAACATAGCACTACTGGGATGTGGTTCTGATATACAGAGGACCAAATCCAGTGTTTGTCCAAACTAGAGTAGACTCAATGAAGTGAATGGGACTTATCAACTACAACAAACATAGGTCCCATGGATTTCACTGAGTGTATTCTAAGTAGGACTTGCATGAGATTTACCCACAAAGATGGTTACAAGCTTATTGTAATTTTGGAATTTAAAAAATGAGGGGGAGGGAAATCTTTATCCAGAAAACACCTTTTGGATCCTCATTACAAAATGCACAGAGGTAATGAAGGGAAGAGGAAGATATATTTCACAGATGCATTGTCCCAAGTGCATTCATTCTATGTACAATGACAGGTATGTAAATAAACTACCTTGTTTTACACACCAGTGCAATTGTGCAAATATATCAGCAAGAAGAATCTCATTCAGAGCTTCATAGAACTGTGTGAATACATCGCAGATTGCATAAAGTGCATGATTACATGTAGTAGTCATCCATTCAGATTTCTGTTGAGAGAAAAACCCAATTGTATTTTTACTGGCACACACAGGTAACTGGAAAGAGTTAATTATATAAGGGCACATGCATTATAAAGCCTATAGGTCTCCATGTGTTCCACAGCCTCACTCTCAAAATTTAGATTTTGAGTTCCTAGGTGCAATGACTTGTCACTTTTGCTTATCTGAGAGCTAGGAAATAACCTTTAGAATAAGTGGCATTCTACAAGCTGATAATTCTCAAATTTATATCCCCCCTTTATCTCCAAAATGGAGCAAAAGATGCTCATCAAATTACAGTATGTTTCTGATTCTTTTAAGAATGCAATTTAGAATGCTATTACAGAACAGACTTAGATACCTCTGTTTGCTGCTCTGGGAGTTTCATGTTATCAAATATTCTGAATACAATTCGAAACAGATCCTGCCACCAGTGTTTTTCAAAGGTATGGCCATAGCTTTTCATGATTTCAAACATAACCGTTAGGCCTCTATAGTGTGAAAGAAAGAACAAGTATGGAAGAATACAAGTTAATTGGGAACACATTGATAGCAAAACAAACTTTAAAAGCTGAAGTTTCATTACCTCGTCCGCACATCTAACTTGCATCTATTGATGATACAAGAAAGTTCAAATAAAATAGGGAACCATCCTCTGACCCAAACTCTATCTCCAGTTGCCACATTCATGTCGTCACTTGTGTATTCTCTCAAAACCTGTGAACACGTAAAAGTGGAATGTGGTCTAAACAGTCAAGTTATTCCATCAGTTGTCCCTCTAAGTACAGAAATCAAAAGAAGAATCCTCATAGTTTAGGGGAAAAAAGTGTCATACGTAAGGAAGTCACTCCATGGTTCACAATAAATTAATGCCCTTCGTAGTAACATTTGTGAGTTACATGTAAAATCCCTGATATTTTATGTGACTATGTACTCATTCAGAAAGGCAAGATACAACAGTAATAAATTATAACAACAAAAAGAATGACTACTAGGGTTGCTGATGTTGCTATATTATTCTTGCTGAACAACAGGACTGCCCATATCTGCATAATAAGAATAAGGTCTTGAAAACCATGAGAAGCCTAGGCTCAACTTATAACAGTCCAGGAGTTTAATTTCTGTTGTCACTAGCGTCATCTATGACTACTGTAATTTGCTTTATTTGGGGCTACCCTGGAAAATAGTTCAGAAGCTATAGCTGGTACAACACAGGGCAGCTAGGTTGTCAGCAGGTGCTTTCTGTTGAGATCATATAATACCTGTTTTGGGCCAGGTGCATTAATTGCTAGTAGTTTTCAGAGTTCAATTCAAGGTCTTGGTTATTACCTTTAAAGTCCTACACAGCTTGGGACCTACATGCCTACTGGGCTGCCTCTGCATTAGGTTTAAGACTCTGAATAAGCACAGAAAGAAAAGCAACTAAAAAGTACCCGCGGTCTTTCTGAAACGTATTTTGCACAATAACGGATTAGTCTAATTGCTTCCATACTGGTATCAGGAAAGGCCGCGTTGCAGGCAAACTCTGATAAACATTTCACAGCATCCTGGAATGAATCTATTGCTGCAGGAAAATGCTGTTGAAAAATATTGGCTGTAAGGAAAAAAAAAAAACAAGCAAAATTAGTCATCTCCATCTTTAGCACTTCCCAGATACAGCTGGCACATACGTGAACCAGATCAATAGCACTGAAACCCATATTGCAATGCCCATACTTTCCTTTCCATGTAACAAATGCTGATGGCTATAGTTCAAATTGGTTATTCTGGATCATTTACAAGAGGCTTGCACCACTCACCGGTTGTAACCCATCACAAATATCATCAGATCAATAGCCCTAATAATGTCACAGGCAGGCATATTGAACTCTATGGAAGAGCACCAGCTTGGCTCATATCACACACGAATCTTGTTACAAACATGGCCAAGTTCTTTTCTTAACGACCTTCTTTCTCCTAAGTAGTTTACATATTTTTTCTTCACCTCATATGGTTGAATGGGGAGTTCTTGATGTTAAGGAGAGACTGAAAAACCTCCTTCCCCCTGGCTATGAGAGCAGGGAATTCCAAAGCCTACAGCTTCACGATTCTACCTTGCTCACAGCGTCATAGGACACAGTCACACTGCTTTCATAAGTTTTGCTCATGTTGTGTCACACCAGTGGCAAGACAGATGTTGCTATCTCTCTCTGCCACCGCTATAGGATATATGGGCAAAGGCTTTGCTGAATATGAGCAGCATCCTTGACTGTGCTAGCAGAGTTGCAGCAGCAAGTACAGGTTTTGATTTGATAGTTGTGTCCGTCTTTTTTCTCTCTCTTTCTTCTTTAAGATAATTAGAAATTTATGGCATTTAAACACCAAATACTACAACAGTATTTACATGTTAAATAACTTCTGAGTAGATGCATATCACACGGAGCTGTCCTTTATACGGTGCAAAGGCTTTGTACTGGAAATTACACCTGAGAAGATATATGTAGGATTGAGTATTGAGCATCTTGTACTTGGCAGGTTTAGGTCTCTGGTTGCAGAGCCAGAGGTTGGGAGTTCGATTCCCCACTGCGCCATAAAGGGTTCCCTACTCAGATCCTCATTTTTATTTAGCTTACTGAATAATGCTGGATGGCTGTTTTATTTTTAAGACTCTTTGAAAATTACAATGTCAGCAATTTTAGGTTGGCTACCACCCCTTTCTTTTGGCATAGCCATTGTGTTAAACTTCACTTACTAACTATATGTCCTGTTGTTTGGAATGCCAGTTCCACAATATTCCCATCATGATCAGATGCTGCTTGATGAAATACTGCAAAGATATTTTTCCACCCTGAGCGAATATTAGCAGCTTGAGAATTCACCATCTGAGCAATGCAGCGTATTACCATATCCCGAATGGTTGGAGATCTAAAGGGAAAAAAAGTCCAATAACCTGTTTATAGTCTTGTACACGCCACCAGCTGAGTTTGCATGGCTTCATTAGAACAGGTTTACATTTTAAGTTGCATGAAACACAAACCTGTTTTTCTTCATGATATGCTCAAAAGGCCTCAAAAAATCTTTCTGAAATCGGAAGTTAGCTAACTCTCCTTTTTCAAGAAACTTCATTGATAGCTGTCTTAAGGAATCAACTGCAAAAATAGCCACATCTTCATTGGGATTACAGCCAACCTATGAAAGACAAAAAACAATGAGGAGGACAGGAAATGAAATTTAAAACTGTACAGATCCAACTCTACGAGTTGAGGGGACAACACATAGTCATTATGCAATAGACACAGTCAAAGAGATTCTCCACTGAGATTCTCAAAGAACATTACTATTAGCCTTTAAAACTCTAATCTTGAATTCTTTTCTTGGAAGTAAATGCCATAGATATGAGAGCTTATTCTGTGTAATATGTTTAAAGTCAGAATACAAGACAAAAACCCCCAAAACTCCAGAGTATCCAAGCATAATTAGATATGCAAATCTGTAGATTTATGGCAAGCACCCACATGAGTAAAGCAAATGTATTCCACCACAAACCCGTCATGGTACAGAGCCTCTGCATTGAACTGACATGAATGTTTAAATTTTGAAATACCTTATTAAAGTGATCTCCGATTACATGCCATATCCTGGACCACTGCAGCCTAATTCTGTTCATGTTGTAATAAGAGATTTCAACAATCTTTTGCAGGCTGAACATGCGCGGGTGGTGGGGAGAAGCCAACTCATCCATGGAAACTGCACACAACCACCGAACAAAGTCCACTGAAAATTTTAAGAGAGGAGACATGCCAATCAGTCTCAAGTGATCCAATGCACCTGTCCTTCATTTATGCATTTTTCTTTTTCAAAATACAAACCTATTGCATTGCCATCCAATCTTGTTGAGCCTGTAAATATTCTGTGGAATAAGGTGAGATGTAGAGTTAAACCACAAGGCAAAGGGGTATCAGGAAAAGCACCTTACAATCTTATCATATAGTTATTTGGCACAGAATGATGGACAGAACACAAGACAGGTTAATTCACAGCATTCCACAGTTATTGCAAAAGTGTTCTAAGTTTAGGGCAAAGTGTGTCCTTCAGCTTCACTGGAGGGGGATGGAGAAGTAAGTTGCAGTTGCAATTTCCCTGTTTTCAAGGATCATCTTATACTTCCATCCAACCCTGTTCTTACCACCTTACGCATCAAAAACCGAGAATGGCGCTAGATTTTAAGAGCTAATATGAAATTAGGGGTTGGATTCTAAAATTTATTTTCAAGCCTACTGTGATGATCAGGAAAATTAAGGATCTTGTATTTCATTAAGAAGGAAAAAATACACTGTAATACCTGTCCACTGCTACCACCACACTCTGCGAACTGGTTTCTCCTACAGATTCCTGAATGCTGGCTATCTGCCTTTTATCAACACCTCCACCAACAAGGTTGCCTGGAGAAGAAAAGACCAAAATTAAATGGTAACTTAATATAAATGAAACAATGCTACTATCAATTGGCTATCACATTCACTACCATTCCAATAAACAAGTAAATAACACATTGTAAAAATGGGCAACAGGCTCAAAGAATTCCAGAGCAGTGAGGCTAAGTTTTCACCCAGAAAAAAATGTGTTCCTCTTTATGGAATATTACACATGATATAGGAGGCTCCAAGAATGGCAATATGGATACAGTTACATTAAATTTTCTACCACAGTGGTTTTCAACATTTGCCCCCAGATGTTTTGGACCAACTCTCACAAATCTCAGTCAGTTTGGAGAACACTCTGCAGTTCTTGGAGCTGAGGTCTGAAACAACAGCCAAAGGCAGAGTCTCACTGATCTCAGGATTTGTCTCTGGTTCTGTTTATTCAATCTCCAAACTAGCAGCTTAATGGGTTACTGTCGTTAATTATGAAAAACAGAAGCTCCACATGGGCAATGCCAAAACTGTTAACTGTAATTGGAAATAAAAGAATAAAGGAGATACAAGGAGCTTAACTTATACCATCAGACAGACATGAAGGCAAAATAAGAGGATTCTCACCTAGACCAAGACCCATGAAATCTTCTCCTGCAGATGTGAACCCTTTAAGGCTCCCTTCTCTTTCACGCCCAGACCCAGACAGGTAGCGTGTTTTAACTCCAGTTCCTATGAGCTGAGCTAGCTCCAACTGACTGATGCACTTCAAAATCTAAGAAAAACAGATATTCAATACACTGTGCAATGCAACTGGAAATTCAATTGCAATGCACAAATTCACACAAGAAAGGACCTCTCCATTCATATCAACACAAAGGATTAACTGTGCATGCCACCACGAGTTCAATATGTTCCTCTCATATACCTTGTCCACGACAGAGTTTCAGAGTCTCCTTTTATGCTGTGTTGTGCTGAAAGGCAGATCTTATTCAAACAGTGCAAGTTCAGTGCTCTGCAACAAGTATTTTTTTCAAATAGGATGTTTAAAAATGTAATTTAAGATAGAAGGCTGTCTTTTACTATGACAGACCACTACCCAAGGCCTTCTGAATGCAAATCTAATTCTTCTGAATGCAGAATATGTATTCTACCACTGAGCTGTAGTCCCTTCCTCAGCACTTAATTTCTCAGCACTGGCTCTATCAAAAACAAGGAGTAGGGTTACTATAATGTGCTGATTTATATCCAGAATAGTGAGCAGTGAAACTAATTTTCTTTGAAGTTAAAATTCACTAAATATAGGCCTGGAAGGTAAACAGGATTTTTTCATTGGTTGGGGATTCTGTCAAACCAGATGTCCAGCATACTAACAAAAGAGTGAGCCATCATGAAAAGTAAATGCAGTCAAAGAACTGGAAATGCTCTTCTCTTGGTTGTTGTGGGTTTTTCGGGGTTTTTGACCGTGTTCTGAAAGTTTTGCCACTCTCTGTGGCCAGCATCTTCAGAGGACTGGAGTAGGAACTCCGTCCATGCTCTGTTGGTGTTTGTTGGATAGTATTTATAGCTGTGGGAATGGCTTTTGTCTTTTTTTTTTCAGGAGATCGGGTGATCAGCATGTTTTTGTATTATAGCGGGGGGAGAGGGAGAGATTATCTGTCACTGTGATTGCTGGGTGTTGTTAGCTGGTCTTTTTTGTGCAATGGTCTCTGGCCCTTGTGGCTGGGTAAGAGTTTGTTGACCTTTTGCAGGTTGCATTTTCCAGAATGGTGCGCCAGGGCGGGTTTAGTTGCAGGCCTTCTTCTTTCCTGTTGAAGTTTTGTTTGTTTATGGATGTCAATGGGGTCCCTGTGCAGTCTAACATACAGATTGTTGGTGTTGTCCAGTAGTTCAGTATTTTGAAACAGAATTTCATGTCCAGCTTGTTTAAGGGCATGTTCAGCTACGGCTGATTTTTCCAATTGTTTTAATTTGCAGTGCCTCTCATGTTCTTTGATTCTGGTGTGAATGTTGCGTTTTGTGGTCCCAAGATATACCTGTCCACAACTGCAAGGTACTGTATCCAGTATACTCCTGCAGTGGTGAGGGGGTCCCTTTTGTCCTTTGCAGATTAAAACACACTGGTGTAGTGTGTGGGACAGTTGAGTGACTACACTACACCGGAACACAGACAGAGTTCTAACTCCTGTCCTCTGAAGGTACCGGTCACAGAGACTGGCGAAACATTAGGAAGAAAAACCTCAAGAACATGGCTAAACAGCCCGAAAAACGTACAACAACCATTGGATCCCACCCGTGAAAGCCTTTGCGAATACATCAACTGATCATTTGTTTTTCCGTTTCACTCTGGTAAATACTAGTGTTATAAAATTACTACAACCAATACACACTAAACTCCTACATGCTTTTTACCTCATGCCAGGAATTTCCCAGGTAGTTGCCATCAGTGTGTGCCACTGTGATAAGAGTCTTGATTGTATCTATGTTCTTCTGCTTCATTTCTGTGATGCTGGAGCTTGCCGTCAACAGGGAAAACCGGGCAAGCGCTTGGACATAAGCATCTCTTTCAAGCTAAAATGCAAAATAAAGGGTCAGGAATAACAATGGCAAGAAACACATTTCTCTTGATTTCCTCTTCCCCCCACCTACCCATATACTACAAGGGAAGCACATAAAGGATTATGACAAAACTTCATTTACTCAGTAACAATATGAGATTAACTACAGTAAGATTAGGACACATATGGGTGTGAGGGAAACATGTGAGAAAATGTTCAGGTTGTAACCACTGAATGGTCTCTCAAATAGATGGAAAGAAAGTGTGATGGATAATTAGAATTATTTCCCCCTTTTTAAAAGTATGTCATGTTGCCTATTCACCATAGATACTGTATTTCTATACTTTGAATTCCCCCCCCCCGCATCCCAGTTTTAATTTATNNNNTATTTATTTATTTATTTATTGCATTTATATGCCGCCCATCTAGACATAGTCCACTCTGGGCAGCTCACTTAACTGTTTCAGTACATGATTTTGTTTTACTGTTTAGGATATTGATTGATTGATTGATTGATTGATTGATTGATTGATTGATTGATTGATTGATTGATTGATTGATTGATTGATTGATTGATTTGATTTGATTTGATTTGATTTGTATCCCGCCCATCTGATCTAATACACCACTCTGAGCAGGCTAAACAACATATAAGTCTCCCTACCCTCCGAAAAGTGTAACAGAACAGAAAATGATGAAGACAGAGAATGTTGAAGCAGAGTGAGTTTGGAAACAGTTGTGACAATAGTTCTTCTGCAGGGAAAGCAGAGTGGTACTAACTAGCAGGGGGGAAAAGCACCCCATCACTCTACATGCACACATTAACTTGGGTTAAGTACAAATTATCCTAGGGGAAAATTGAGCTAAACTTTATCACTAGTATAAAGTATAACCATAAACAGCTGATCTTAAAAGGCATGGTTCTGGATAAATTTAACTGTAAAACTATGGTTTCCAAATTTTTATATATTTTCAAATCTAAATTTCAGAATTTGGACATCAAAGTAGATGAATTAAATGGTTTGTTGCAATTGGTTGGAAAATGAACACACCTTCAATTTTAAAATGAATCTTAGGAAATACCATTTTAGCTCTATTGAATATTATTTTGCTATGACCTAAACAGCAAGTCTAGTTCCTACTAACCTGCATGCCAAAAATGCAGGCTATTCGGATAGCACATCGGATTCCTTCTAAGCACAATGACGCAACTTCTGTATCATCACAGTTCTGAAGGCCAACGCTGTAAGCAGCCAATAATGGAGTCCACACAAGCTAAGAAAAGAAAAGAAAACTTAGTAGATTCACTCATGTAGAATCCAGGCACATATTGGTACCAAAATGTTGTTGAACATAAATACCACTCAAGCCAAAAGGGGTCTGTTTGCCTTCAAAAGATACAAGTCACAAATACTTCAGTATTTTAAAAGCTCTTCCACCTATTTTATTAAAAAGGCTGATCTGCACAACCTTCCGGTATTTCAACTCCAGCCTGATCTATCAGATTCTCCTGTTTCTCACTCCCAAATACCAAAAGCTTCTTAAATGGATGCTCTGATCTCAATTCTATTGCTGGCAAGTTTGAGGGGCATGTTAAGTATCCAGATCCTAGCTCCATACTCACTTTGAACATGGGTCTGACATGATCCAGGTGAGTTGCACTAGTAAAAGGTGCCTTTGCATGGCTTACTGCCTCCATCAGAGCCTTGGCAGTCTTGGCCATTTGCTCCATTTCCAGGTTGTATAGCAACCGTCGCTGCTTCTCACTGGCTACATCTAAAAAACAGAAAAATAACTGTTTATATGTGCTTGTTTTGGCATATTCCTACCAAGTTCTGGATAAATCAGAGTACAGACTTTAAAAACCGAAACCCTTCTGTAAATGAGCACAATAAATATTGAAGAGGCATGAAAATATTTCCAGATTCATATTTAAACGTTTGCCTTATTTAAAGGCAACTTTAAATGAAGCAATAGCACTTTCATGCTCATGGTTGCCAAGAACAGAAGCATGCTGCATCTAGTACAATCACCAATATGACGAAGAACAGCCATTGCTGGCATTGTCATCTGAACCTTGTTCTAATCCAAGATGGTGACCATCACTTCACTTTATGAAAGCAAATTCTATAGCACAAATTGAATGTGCTGTGTGAATAATTTCTTTTTGTCTATAGCAAAACCTCCTACCATTCAGTTTTACAGGATAACCCATAGTTCTAATATTATGAAAGGGGAAGGAGGAAAAAAATCCTCCTATCCACATTCCCATGCTATATCCTTTCTGCACTGGGTAGCAACACATTTATGATATGTAAGAAGTGTGCTACTGATGCTGAATTTATCATAATTTTTGAACTCTGTGAACACAAGAATCGCAGAGATAGCAGGAGGGGCAAGTAAGCTGCTGTGATATCCTACCCTTGAAGACAAAGGCCATCAGCTAAAATCCACTTCTGTCATAGTTCCTATTTCTAACCTCCTCTGCTTCCAGAAAGCCTAGATTGAATGACATATGTGGAGGTTCCCTGTTTTATATCACAATAATTGTGTGAAGCAGCTGTGGTGGATAGACTGGTCCAAAGTGATTGGTGAGGATTTGAACTCAGATCTCCTTAGACCACGGTTCACTGCTCTATCAACCAAACCACACTACACCAAATAATAAAAGTCTGCTTTGTGCCACAAGTTAATAGCAATAAAGTAAGGAGAGAAAACGTTCTGAAAAAACTGGTGTTCATCGGAGTTTAGGGTTTAAAAAAATCATACTTGGCTTAGTAGATTTGGTTGTGATGGCATATCCTTTTGTATCCTTCATTGCAATTTTCTTTCCTTCTATCTCATCATAAATAGCTGACAAATATTCCTCTGGAAGGTCTTTGCTGTCATTGATCCCACGATTCATTTTTATGTATTGCTCTTTTGTCATCTTATTCTTCACCTATAATGGTAAAGCACAAGGAAAGTGTTCAGACAATGTCTGAGAGCTGCATAGATACCCATTGGTAACTATGTTGTAAAATATTTTAATAGTATATACCTGGGGACTATGCAAGTCGGTTGTTAACATTATAATGGAATATGCCAAAACATAAGCTGTGTCAGCACTGGCAAAGACGGTTTGACTGGGGACAGAAAAGAAACAAGGATTTATAATCCTACATTTTCTTTTTTTTCAATTCATACTAGGTTTCATTTTAAGAATACTGTTAAACAAACGTTCTACTCAAGCTCTCCCTGCTAAAAAACAGAAGCTGCTAATCTCTTTTTGACCGGAAGCTGCTCCAGAGTTCATAACAACTTGGTCAAGATCAAAAGGAGCCTGGTCAGTGCTTCTAGGCCTCTGTAAACCCCTCAGAATTCACAGAGACAGCATTCATCCCCAAAATCCCCAATCGTCACCCAGATCAAGCATTAGGAACCAATAGCAACATTCATCATAGCATATTTGATATGCCCTAGTGACAAATTAATATAAACCTCAAAGCAGGTTTTTCCTTGAGCAGAAATATTTTTAAATAATGTTCTTAGCATTCCAGAATGATAGAGAGGCTTCTCTTTTTCGAGTATGGCCACATCTGGATTGTACAATAAATCAGGAACTGGCAGAAATCCTGGATTGTTAAGAATAAGCAGTGCACTGATGCCTGCCTCCCACTTGTTACTCCTTCTGGCATAAATGACTATGGGTCCATGATTTGTTCATTGTGACATCCACATCTTGTGGCAGCCAGAACCCAAGCTGGATTCCATACTATTCCCAGTATGGAAAACCCCCAGAACAAACCCCTGACTCTTTTTGTAACTTGAAAACAATCTAGAGCACCCCGATACCGTGGTCCCCAACCTTGGGCCTCCAGATGTTCTTGGACTACAACTCCCAGAAGCCTTCATCACAACCTCTGCTGGCCAAGATTTCTGGGAGTTGAAGTCCAAGAACATCCGGAGGCCCAAGGTTGGAGACCACTGCCCTAATAAACAAACCATGAATCAGAAAATCTGTCCCTTATTAGCTGCTCCCATATTCAAAACGGAGCAAGCAGGCTGATTTTTCTCAACAGACCAAGGTTTCCATTCTTCCCTGACTTATGATTATTTATTTATTTATTTATTTATTTATTTGATTTGATTTGATTTGATTTGATTTGATTTGTACCCCACCTATCTGGACCAATGGACCACTCTAGTAATGTGAAGAATTAGTACATTGCTAGCCACAACCTGATTTATTTAAATAGTTATAATATGTGTTTTCTGTACATTATATTTCAATAGAAGAACAAGGGTCTTCTACTGACTAGCCAGGTCAGAAAGGTTACCCAGATAGCTGTACTAACCCCTGCACTTTCTCCCAAACAAGGTTTCTAGAAACACATTATTCTAATTTACTAAATTTGCAGTTACCCTTGGTTGCATTCAATATATCTAGCAGCAAATTTTTCCATTAATCTATCAATCTTCTGAGCTTCACCAGGTAACCGAAATCCCTCCAGAAATATACGCAAAGCAGAGACAAAGTCTTTTCCACTGAAGTCAAGGAGGTCTACGTAGGCATACATCACGTCCCTGTTAAACTTGTTACTGTCCCCTAGAAATTCTCCCACTTGGCTCTAGTAACAAAAAGAAAAAGAAAAAGAAAGCAATAAAGAGCATTCATAAAATGTCACATTTTAAGGTAACAACCACGGATAATTGTTCATCTTGGAAGCAGCCAATACAATTGATTAATACAAACAATACGATTGAATTTATAACCTAATTTTGGAACAAGAGGAAAAAGAGACTGAAACAGAAGGTTTGAAATCAATTTGGGAACATGATTTAAAGACAGAAATTAAAACAGAGGATTGGACAAAAATTTGGAAAATGAGAGTTTTAAGATTAATGTCAGTAAGAATAAAGGAAAACATTTTTAAAATTAGTTTAAGGTGGTACATGACTCCGGTGAAATTGAACATAATAAATTCAGATTATTCTAAGGCCTGCTTGAAATGTGATGCAGAAATTGGCACATATTATCATATGTGGTGGGAGTGTAAATTGTTTCAGAAATTTTAGAAATTGATTTTTAAGGAAATATGTGATATATTTGCTGTCAATTTTTGATAAGATAGTACTTGATTATTGCTCAAAGGAATTGATTTCTAATCTTATGACAAGTGTTAGAATATTAATAGCTAGATTCTGGAAAGATAAAAATGATATTAAATTAGAAAATTGGTATAATGAAGTATGGGACATTGTGTTGAATGATAAATTGACTACTGAATTTAGGATGAAAAGAGGGGAAATAAGTTTAAATATTTTTATGCTATTTGGGGTAGATTTATTGAATTTGTATTAGTGAAAGGAAAGGGGAAAGCCTCTAAGCAACAATCAATATAATTTTGGAAAGGCGGTTCATAATAAAAGAATGGCTCCAAAAGGTCCCGTGGGTATGGTGGTGCACTGTGTTTTAGATTGTATTAGTAAGTATTTTGTATTCTTGTATTTGTTTTGGAAATTTAAACAAACAATACAATTGACTCCTCTCAACTGTGAACAGGGAATGCTAGCAAGAATTCTTCGGCTTATACTGAGGTTCTTAAAAGTGCACAAATCTTTTACTACTTCCCAGTGAAAGTCACACTCCCCTCCTCCCACTTTTCCCTTCTCTCTTTTTGTTCCCAAACGGTTCCTGGACATTCCACAGAAATATGTTTATAAAAAACATTCAAGCATGATCTGCTGTTTACTTTTATGATAAGAGAATGCCCCAGGGTTAAGGTAAACATCTCCCTCCAATCTGACATGCTTGGATCCTGCAACAGAGAGAGAACTGGAACAAAACCTGTTTTAATCAGAAGAACGGAAAATGAATTGTCCCAGTTCTGTCGCTTGTTCCTGTTCTATATGTTGCACTGGGCTAGAAGCATGATGGGTAGTGTTGATAAGCAGTTTTCATTAAACTGTTTGCAATCTGGGTGTGTTTCTGGACACAGCTCTGTCTTGGGATTCCCAGGCTGCAGCTGTGTCAAGATGTGCCTTTAGTCAGCTGAGGTGTATTTCACGGCTCTGTCCTTATTTGGACGATGGAGCCCTCAAGTCGCTGATGCATGAACTGGTTATTTTCTGGATCAACTACTGCAATTGTCTCTATATGGGGCTTCTCTTGAATGTGGCAGCCAGACAGTTGACTAGTATGAGCAGGATTGATCATGTATCCCCAAGTTCTGGGCTTGCCTACCTTTGCATCTCAGGTCAGATTCAAGGTTTTGATGCTCACCTATAAAGTTCTTCCGTTTGCGACCACATTAGTTATCAGAGCATCTTTGCCCAAAGTTATCAACTGTGCCACCAGATCCTCACAAGCAAAGGCTGTTTAAAAGGCTTCTGAAAACTCTTCAGGAAAGCCTTTCATTGCATCCCTGCCTAATTTTATGCCTCATGTTCTGCCTTTTCTCTTGAAACGACGCCTCTTGTAGTTTATTTATTGTCTGACTGTTCTATTTTAATCTTATTACTGTTTGGTTTGATTTTTGCATGCTGTAAACCATCCAGAATAGTATATCACACTAATGGGTTGGTGTATTAATCAATCAATCAATCAATAGCATAAATATATACTGTTAGCTGATGTTGAGATTTGAAGATGGTAATCAATCAATCAATTAATTAATTAATAGCACAAATATATACTGTTAGGTGATGTTGAGATTTGAAGATGATGGACATTGCTCCTCTTTATAAACCCACCTCAGTGTCTGTTCCCTTCTTCAAATCTCAGTATTCCTTGCTTTTCAACAAGTCCCAACATGTTTCTCATTCAAAGCAACCAACAGAACAGAAACAAGAAAAGGAGCCTAGACAGACTAGATAGATCTGCTGTGTTCTCTCTGCCACATATTTCCCCTTCTATTTGAATTTATCCATATTCTTTTATTTCCTTAACAGATCTGAGAAACTATAAACCCAGAACAAGACAATCTATGAACAAGCCATATGAAACTGTAACTTGCTCCTCCATTGATCCGCACACTTGGTCTTCACAGAAGTCCTTAAATACTACCAAAAACCCCATTAGGGTCACAATTCCAAAGTGTTACCCTCCCAAATGCAAATTGCTAGAGGGATCATGTAAGCATGTCTACCATTTTTTAAAGAATCCTATAATTCGCTAAGCAAAAGGCAACGCCTTACAGAACACAGGCGCTCTTCTTGGTGTAGAAACTGTGCCACATCTTCTGCCGTTACGCCAAGCATTCCTTGCTCTTGCAGATATTGCAAGCCTCTCTTGGACTTTTTGTTAAACCTGGGTAAGGTCAGGGAGATGGAAAGAGAGATCAGCCAAAAGGAAGACCCTTTAAAAAGACATAGCATTAAAACAAATTACCTGCTAACACTGACCCTACACATTTATTTTATTAAGACATGTTTATCTGGCTTTGTGGCTCAAAAAGACCCTTTAAAATGCACGGGTTGATATATCCTCTGGAATGGCATGAAATGGGGCACCAGAGTGGGCAAACCAGAACTAGATAAGGAAATCAATAAAATGTACCAAGGCTGCCTTGCACAAGCAGAAATTGTATTCCAATCGCACAAGACAACCCTTGGTATGCACCACTGTATTGTACAGTTTGAATGAGAATTAGCTGTTGTACACATAATGTAGGTAAGGAAAAAAAAGAAAAGTATGTATTTTTTTAAAAAATGAATGTATCACTTGTAGGAACTGAAAAACAATAATGGATAATAGCTTTCAAAATGCTGCTTTTCCAGTGCAAATTAGCTTCAACTGCGTAAAATATAGGAGCATTATTTCATTTATCATATTCTTCTCACAAATTTGTTCTATTTATCTACTATTGCTTCTTAAAATGTACGTTTAATATCTGCAGTTGGCACATGTACGTATCCATTTCTTCTGCATTAACTAACAAACGAAAATCCATTGTATGAACACAAATCTCATACACTCAGTACAATAAATTTTCTCTTTGGTACCAATTCAAGATTCTGCTCTCTTCTTGCTGTCTTTGTAGCCTCTTGTTTCTTCTTACTGTCATAATACAGAGCAGACAAAATGATAAAAGTATGGAAAGGAAAGCTCATTTAACATTTATGCAATAGTAGTTCCAACTCACAGTTCAATACCATGTTCAATTATCTCTTTCTGTTGCTTGATGACCTCAAATTGCTCTGGATCATCAGGGACAGTAGTCTGAGTGCCAACACTCCCAATTCCTGAGGAGACTGTGGAATCTAAGGAGCTTGCACTACTTCTTCTTCCCCCAATCTCCAGACATTTGCCTTCCCCCATGTCTTGATCAGAAGGCTTATCTGGACCTGCATGTGAAGTAAAAAAAGATAACTGAAGAGAATGTGGAATTAACAGAAATGTATTTTTGAGCTTTCTAGAGAAGACACACTCATCACTAGTCATATCATGAAGTTGGAATAAATCCAGAAGTCATGCAGTCTACCTTCATCCACTATCCCCAGGGTTTTCTAATAGTCTACAGTACTAGCCAGTCACCTGTACAGAAGAGTGAGGCACTGCAGAGGAAGAAATGCTAGCTTTTCATCAGGACAAAGCTGCACTGACCTGAGCAATCCCTGGGAATCTGGGGGCTACTAATTCAGTCCTACAATGCTTCAACCCCTACCCTGTTTTCCTGAAAATAAGCCCTAACTTGAAAATAAGCCCTAGTATGATTTTTCAGGATGCTTGTAATATACCGTAAACCCTACCCCCAAAATAAGCCCCAGTTAAGTGAAACCCCACCCCCACCATTGTACAGCATTCTGCAACAACCAGAGAACATGACTGTATTTGAATCAATGTAGATTGTTGTACATGAAAAGAATAAAACATCCCCTGAAAATAAGCCCTAATGTACAGGTCACATACATAATGCATTTTTGGAGCAAACATTAATATTAAACCCTGTCTTATTTTCGGGGAAACACGGTATGTGTGAAAATGGAAATGATGGGAAAGTTACTTTCAAAGTAAAGGGGGGGAATCCTCTGATTTGTTGTAAAACAAAATTTGTGCTAAAACAACCAGTTGGAGGGGGCATGTCTGACCTTAAATGAAAATCACAGACCCAACTGTCCCATTTGAGAAAAACATGGAAAAGGACATTGGGTGGCTCTGGGACACCCACACCAGTTGGCAGCACATGTTCCCCCCTACACTACAGCATCCAACTAAAGAGACCAGGGAAGTCACTTTCTAGAGAGAATGCTGGTTGCCACTCACAACACTAGAGATTATCTTGCTCATCAACATTCCCCACTACAAAAGAATCATACCAGAACTTTTAGTCCAGGAAAGTCTATTTTTGTGATGATCTGAGTCTAATACAGACTGGCCCAACAAGAAGTCACCTTTAGATAACGTGTGGAAGAAAGGAACGATTTCTCACCAAGGCTGGCCTGATGGTTGGGATTCACATACAGGTCTTTGCTCCATTCTACCATGCATTTTAAAATAGAAACCAAACACTCAAGACCTTTCTTCCTTAGACTTAGTTCCTGCATGCAAAAATGTAGAAAAAAAATATAACTTCACTATAAAGCATATACTGTAAAACACTTGGGAACCAATTTTCAAGCCACACAATTTAGATATCACATTAAATCATGATTAGCATTTATTTTAGATCCTAAACCATGGTTTACATTTCCTATCTATAGAGAGTACAGATTGGTTTAAACACATAATTTAGAAACTGGGAGAAAACCCATCTCCCTCCATTGAACCCTGTCACTGTATAAATCTTACTACTGCCATTGCCTTATATCATTTTATCCAGGTTTAGCAGTGTGTTCAGATTGTCAACAGCCTAAGTATGTTCTTCTGCTTATTTCCTTTAACATACGTTAACAGAACTACTAGGAGATAATAGTACAAGAGAAAGGAAGTATAATATAATAATAAATCTCCACTCCTAAGTAGATCTACTTAAGAATAAGTACAACAAAACACAGTGACTATTACTTCAGACCAAGCCAAATACAGATTACACTTTAACTCCTACCTGCAAAGGTGTCATTCCTAACTCATGTCCACTCCGCCCCTGGGCAATTTTTGACAGGTCATTTACTAGTCGTTCAAAAATATTAGCAGCATTCAAATCACAGTCATAGTTAACGTATATATCCACCACACACTGAGCATCTAAAAGAGAAATTGAGGTCCGGAAAATATAATTGAGTGTGAGAGAAGATACCCAACAGCACAATATCACAACTAGGTTGCCTCCCATTTTTAAGTTTGGAAATGCATTATATTGTAGATCACTTTCTAGTATCAGGAAGTCCTGTAGTGAAATGTTCAGAAGGCAAGAAATACCTGCTAAGCATCCTTATTCTGAAAGCTTATCATTCCATTTCTTTCTTTCCCTCAATATTCTAAGCATATCTACTCTCTGCCTTGGGTCAGATTGCTCTGGATATGAGAAACAGGTATAAATACCTGCATAGTCACATAAGGCACTTGGTGACCTGGACTAGACACATTCACTTGTCTATATTGGATAAATATGACAAAGAATGCAGTACAGCCAAACTACCTTCTTTAGCTGCTTTCATGACTCAGGAAAGCTGATGTACTTTTCTGACAGATCCACAGAACTCCACCACCTCTTCTGTCATCCTACTCTCTCACCACCCTCCCACCACAAGAGCATGTTAAAGTACAGAAAGACTCTCACAGCCGCATGCAGATTATGTTTCAAGGCATCTGTCTCAGAGGTGGCAGCTGCACGTAGCTGTATTATCTCTTCTGCATGGCCAGGCATACATCACTCCCTACATTCTTTCTCCACCTATATTCTAAGCAAGCATGAAAGAAAAATCTCTTGCAATGTTATAATCAAATCACCTGCAGAAATCCTAGTCAAAGTCTGAATTACCATCCATTTGTGCTCAAAGGAACTGGAAGAGGTTTCTAAAATATTCAGGAAGATCTCTTTAAAGAACACCTGTTGAAGACAAATTGAAAAAGCAAGAGTACTTACTGTCAGAAGTAAAAGCATATATGATTCATTCAGAACTTGAAAACTGAACGTGTGTACATGGGTATCTTAACATCCCAAATACACCACCCTGATAAATAACCATACTTCAAAACAGTAACATCTCAAGGATTGCAGTTTATTACTACTGAAAGTAAACAGAAAATAATGTTATACATCTGAAGTAGAAAAGCTAACAAAGCCATTTTACCTCAATCTGCATTTTTAAATGGGTTTTGAAGTTTGAAAGAAGGGTGAGGAAGATGGCAAGAGACAGTTCAAAAACATCAGGAACGGAAGAAACTCCATTCTTAGATAATGCTACACAGAGATACTGCTTGATTGCATTTATGAACATTTCATGTGTCCTGAAGACCGGACCAGCATTCTGTAGGACTGAAAGCAGCAGCTGCAGGGATACGATCTTAGAGCGTAACTCGTGGGATCTGCAAACAGGAAACAGAAAAAATGAGTCATGCCTCTCTCTTTTTTGTAAACTCTTTGTGAGGCCTCTTGTTGATCATGACTGTTTCAGAGGTAAAGTTCTGGAGACTACAAAACTTGAAACCATTTGATCATCTCTCAAAATTTAAGAATAGTTTCTATTCGGTACACATAATACCACAACAAAGTTTTATTCTTTACTTTGTAACAAAACATGAAAATGGTACTGTAATAATGGTGCTATTATCAATAATGATCCGAAAGTAAGTTAAATCCACTTTAGGCACCAAAAGCCCTCATGCCCCTTATACAAGCCAAAACTGCAATGAAGTTTTATTCATTTCCAGCATCCCTTATAACACAGCAGCTTCTGTCAGTGAAGGCTATCTCATAGTACTCCACACCTCTTCATTCATCAAAATCATTACTTATATTTCTCTTTCTGTATCTCCAATAAACACTGGCCCAAATCCTCTTGCCTAGTTATGCTGGCATAACATAAATAGCTTAACCTTTGGAGATGAATTGCATTTTTTAAATGCATCCTTCAGTCTCAAGAGACTATGGTAATGTGTTCTGAATAGAGGACTTAGAACAGCGTCTAGTGTAGCTGAGAAGGCCAATTCGAGAGTGACAATCCCTTCCACAGTGAAGACAAATACAATCTGTCTCCTGACCAGCTCCCTGATTTTGCTGGTTTCAGGACTGCCTCTTTGCCTCCGCCTGCTGAACAAGTATCTCTTCAAAATGGGAAAAGCCATGATGCACCGCCTGCCTCCAGGCTGAATGCTCAGATGTCAAGGTTTCCCATCTGTTGAGGTCCATCCCTAAGACCTTCAGATCCCGCTTGCAGATATCCTTGTATCCCAGCTGTGGTCTCCCTCTGGGGCGCTTTCCCTGCACTAATTCTCCATACAGGAGATTTTTTGGAATCCAAACATCAGCCATTCTCATGACATGCCTGAGCCAACATAAACGTCAGTGAATTGCCTTAAGAAATCATTATAGACATTGCCTGAAATCCGGCTGCAAAGCTACATGGGCATAGCTCAATGATACGTCAGCAGTAGCTGCAATAATGCCAAGATGAAAGTGCTGTCCATAAAGCAAGTGTGCCTGCACATTGTGCAACGGTTTTAATGACAATCATATAGTAATTTCTTAACTTGAAGCAATTTTCCTCCAAAAGTTATGCCTTTTGATTAGCTATGCTAACGGATTTCAGCCATTAATTTTGAATGTCTTGTTCACAGCAGGTATGCAATGGCCAAAATCCTTTTGCTTAGCATTAGAGATTTAGCATTAGCACACCTGGCCATAATGGTCCCCTGGGGCCGGACTGTCCACTCACGCATCTGCTGCCAGTGCCGGCTCTGCTCTCCCTTCCAATGCTCACAGTTGCCTAACCACTGCTGGCATAAGGAGGGAAGATGAGTCTCACTGCCAGGCTAATGAGTGGATAGCCAACTGAAAGTTCCAGAGCAATTGGGAGAGCTGAGCCGATGCCAGTGGCATACGCATGATGGATGATCCAGCCCCAGGGGGGTGGACCCTCGTTACATACAGTTGTGGTTAGCATCTGTACTTGGCATATTAAATCAAATTAGAGTAGGCCCACTCAATCAATGTAGATTTGATGAGTCAATTCCTCTGCAAGTCCTCTTGATTCAAATGGGTCTACTCTAGTTGTTGACTAACTATGAAGTTTGAATAGGCCCATTTGAATTAAAGGAACTTACAGAGCAGTTCGATCACCAAATCTGTATTGATCCCATGGGCCTACTCCACAGTTGCTTACTACACTAAGCTACATAATTTGGGCCAATATTAAGTAAATAATTTACGTAAATAACACACAAACAGTCTTTTCAGCACAGAGTGAGAATAATGCACATCTTTTTGAGTTTCTGAAAATTACAAATACAGTTAGTTCCACTTGTGTTTGCAGAACACATTCCAAACACTTCAGCAGTATCAATCCTTCTAAGGTGGATCACTTTAGAAACGTATAAAAAGTACTGCTAGCTGCTAATGAGCTAAATCTACTCTATCCAAAGACAACAGCAGATAGAACCTAAGAATAAATAAAATATGAAGAGATTATTCTCTATAGAATAATGTTCTAAAACACTATCAGTACCATTAGTTTTCTGAAACAGCAACAAAACATGAGAAAATCACAATGCAACTGGCTACTTAATTGTTTTTTCATGTTTGTATTAGTAACACAGAACACTGAACAACAATTAAAATCTTTCTTTACTTGGGATCTGGAGGTCCATCACCCAGTGGTTTCATTGAAAGCTTGCACAACGACCGGAATACAAGGAAGGCATCCTTTTGAAGGATATGGGAGAATTTAGCAGTTGCCTGAGGTCCAGGTACATCTGTTTCCTAAACAGCAAAGTTACAAGAATTGTACTTAGAATACAAGTCTAAGCAAGGTTTAATTAAATTTTTTAAGCCTAACAGACATTCCTTGCAATCATGTCTATTTTCCAATAAAATTAGTTTTCATAGATTGAATGTCTTGTTTCAATACAGCACTGAAAAATAGCTGAACTTCAAAACTAATGCAATCAGTTAAACCCAAACCATCTTTCTAGGGAATGCTAAACTATCTATTATAGTGGCAGATACACCCTATCCTAGGCATTTATGTTGTTGATAGATATACGCCTAGAGTGGTCGAAATGACTAGATAGGCGGGGTATAAATACAATAAATAAATAAATAAATAAAAAAATATACTCATTTATTTGATTTTGCATCTAGACAATATACTTATTTCATTTATCATATTTTTCCATTTATAAGATACCCTCTACACTTTTCTAACTCAAAAATTAAGAAAACTTAGCTTTGAGTATTCAGCTTCTAGGCTCAGAACACTCAGACAAGTCCCTGTTGAATCTGAGCCTACAGGCTTCACCTCCAACAAGGTGTGTTCCAACTGGTTTGTTCAGCATCAGCTGACATCAGTTCCATAGGGCTCGTGATTGGAGGAAGCCAAGTCTCCTGACTGTGGGAAACTAAGCCTCCTGATTGGAGGCAGATAAGCCTCGTGATTGACGGACGCCTGTTTACAGAGGAAAGGTATGGGACATTTTGTTTCCTCGGTGTTCTCAGCTTACTTCTGTGTAAAAGACACCCCTCAATTTTTAGTGTAATGATTTTAGGAAAAAGTAGTGTCTTATATATATAAAAATACAATATTTTGTGTCAAGGCAATGTATTAATGCATTTTGGTCTGTCCCACCCACTCTGCTTTCCATTGAAATCTTTGCACAGTTATGTGCCCTACCAGATTATCCGTGGAAGAGACAGATTGTCTATCATCTGGAATTCCATTGGCTTGCATGTTTTCACTACCACCTGGTGAGTCAGGAACCGCAGACAGAATTCTACCTGATTCAGGGACAGCCTGCTTTTTCATTTCTTCTCCTAAAGAGCCTGAAGAAAACATATTTGCAAAGTTTATTTTACTACAAATATTGTCTGGAAAATATAATGTCATTCAAAGTTCAATAGAGAATACTGATAGTATAAAGTACTGATAACATATTGGGAAATATCTGTTCTGATTTTTCAGATAGGTGAAGTCAGGAAGCTGAAAAGCACTAACTGTGCTTCTATAAGAAACTCTTAACCAAGCTCTGTAGCCTTAGAGGAAACATTTAAGGAAGAAGAGGCCTCCATTTTAAAAGGCAAGAAGAGAGAGACGTCCCCAAAGAAATTTTACCTCTAAGAGCTGAAGTGACCATATCCTCCAAGATTTCTTTAATAATTTCTTTTCCATCATCAGTTTCTTCTTCTAATAAAATATATATCAAGAAATCACTTGAAATTTAGCCTTCTTTTATAAAAACATTTATACAAGTCACTACTTGAGTAGTCAGGTTTATCTTCTTATGTTTTCCTTTCCTTAAGCATCACACAACACAAAGTATTGGTTAAGGAAAAAAAACTAACCAGAAACATTAAGATCCAAGTCATTCAGGAGCCCTCAATGGCTGTGCCCCATGCATGGAACAGGGTCCTCTGTGGAGGACAGCTGCTATAGTCTTCTCAAGGCTTCACATCATGCAGAGACTCACATGACAGAACCTCTGTTTAAGCATTTAAAACACACACGCACACACCTCTACACCTTATGTCTGGCACAGCAATCTAAAGACTGCAGACAGTCACTAAGCATGTGTGAAATTCTGACCTAATTTTTTAGAAAACTAGAAACTACATTAAAGGTAAAGGTTCCCCTTGACAATTTTTGTCCAGTCGTGTTCGACTCTAGGGGGCGGTGCTCATCCCCGTTTCCAAGCCATAGAGCCAGCGTTTTGTCCGAAGACAATCTTCCATGGTCACATGGCCAGTGCGACTTAGACACGGAACACTGTTACCTTCCCACCGAAGTGGTCCCTATTGATCTACAGTGGGGTCTCGACTTACAAACTTAATCCATATTGGAAGGTGGTTCTCCGGTCGAAAAGTTTGTAAGTTGAATCTGCATTTCCCATAGGAATGCATTGAAAACCATTTAATCCGTATCTGCTCTTTTCCGTCCATAGAAACTAATGGGAAGCTGCTATTCCGCGTTCTGACACTAGAGGGGGCTATTTTTCTTTTTTCCTTTTAACCTAAGATGACTTAGATTTTTAAAAAAGGAAAGAAAAGAGTTCGTAACTCGTATCTAAGTTCGCAAGTCGAGTCCATATATTCCTATGAGAGCGGTTCGTAAGTCGAAAAGTTCGTATGTAGAACCGTTCGTAAGTTGAGACCCCATTGTACTTGCATTTGCATGGTTTCGAACCGCTAGGTTGGCGGGAACTGGGACAAGCGACAGGAGCTCACTCCGTCGCGTGGATTCAATCTTACAACTGCTGGTCTTCTGACCCTGCAGCACAGAGGCTTCTGTGGTTTAGCCCACAGCACCACCACGTCCCTAGAAACTACAGTACCCTGATTTAAATTTTAAGTTAACTTGAAATTGGAAATTTCCTGAAAAATCTCCTGAAAAATGGTACTTAAAAATGATAAGTAATTTTTATGTCTAGAGAATAGAGTACCAGATGCCGATGGCTTATGGGGGAAGGACAATATACAAAAAAAAATCCAGAACATTATATGAGGCAGGGATTAACCTGTGTTATAATATGAATTATTGTTCTGGTTTTCTTGTTGTTTAATTACTGTGGGTTTTTTGTTTTTGTGTTTTGTTTGTTTCCACTGTAAATAAAGCAGCTAAAGGAAAATAGAATGCAGTTCTTTTTACATTTGAAGAAAAAAAAAGGTGAAAGGAAAAAGAAAGCGCCACAGACTGGTTTATATACATGCTTGTACATGGTTTGTGTGACACTGATGAATGGTCATATCAAAGCCTGTATTTTAAAAATCACTTCTAAAACTGCCTCAAATGTCAATTAAACAAAATATTCAAAAAGATGCATTCCATTACTACATTAGGACCAGAACACCCAGGGGAAAGGCCCCAAGCACAGTAAAGCTTCTATTTCTCAGTGGTAGTTATCATCACAGTAGAAACCAGTTTAACACAGGTTGCAGACCATTTGGAATTCAAGGCACATAGTTTCACACACCTCTCAGTTTTGACACAATCAAAATATTCTGAAAGATCACCAATATATTAGGATATTATTCAAAGGAATGCAATCTGAAATTTGAAGCAAGATACAATACAAAAGCCTTTCAAAAAGCCCACCTGGTATTCCTTGTTAAAAACAAATAATATTCAAAATACACTCAAAATGAAAACAGTCTGGATCTAGAGTTGACACCTAATGAATGGAAGGCCTTTTTCTGCTGGCTGAGGCATCTATGGAGTTCCTGACAAAGAAAGGAGGCTAGATAGCAATTTTGACTTATTCTTTCTCCCACTGTGCCTAAAGGGGCTGCCTCATACACCATTGTGGAAGGCCCTCCAATACTCTAAGCAGTGGTCCCCACCACTTCTGCTGGCCAGGATTTCTAGGAGTTGAAGTCTAAGAACATTTGGAGGCCCAAGGTTGGGGACCACTGCTCTAGAGCAAACTTTCAAAGGCAATGTGGACTGCACAGGATAGTAGAACAAAAAACAAATCACCTCCTTGCTTCTCTCCAGGGAATCATCTAGTTTACTGTGCCACTCAATACCTCTGACATTTAAGCTACGAACAAGGAATTCAGCTATTGGAAAATAAATTGCTTACTATTGTTGATCCAATTAAATGATTGAACAAAATAACAATTGAAGCAGAAAATTATAGACTTTCCACATCTCAATAAAAAGACACCAGGGAATATTTCTATTTGAGATACTTGCTTGATTAATGAATAAACCATGATTGATAACGTCATGGATTAGCACCATAGCAGCATTATCTGGAAGTTGAGTCATGGCAACTGGACTTCCTCCTTTTCTTTTCTTTCTTTTGCCACAACTCAACTTCCAGATAATGTCACCTGGATGACTGAGACTCTTCACAGATATATTGCTACCATAGCGTCTTCTTTTTCTCTCAACACTCCTCACATAGCACAAAGATCCTGGCTAGCATTTAGCCAATACTGCCCACTACAGAGAACTCTAGCACAATTATTTTTGTGGATTTTTCTTACCATCCACCAGTGCAGAAACCATTGAGAACTCTGGCTAAATGCAAGTTGGTTCACCCACCCACCCCAAATGAAGCCGCTATGTATCAGGGGAGAGAGAAACATGCAGAAGTGTTGCTTATCTACAAATTCATAAACCATAATTTATAAAACCTTGGATGATCATCTAAAGGTAGGCTTTGGAGACAGTACAAATAATAGAATCTTATTTACCAAAGACTGGAGGAGTGAAATTGTCCTCTGGCTTCTGGTCTCCATTTTCTTGTCTCTCAGGCTCACCGTTAACTAAAACTGTTTTTATTGGAGTTGAGGGTCTACTTTCTGGTTGGCTGTATTTCAGTCGGCCAAACTTGGGAGATCCTGACATTGTATGACTCATGGGAAACTGGGATCTTTGTTGATTTAATTTTTCTACTTCCCTTGCTTCCTGTATCTAAAAATCCAGAACACAGGGAAACATACAGCATAGTACATCATAGAACAATATTGGATAGAAGGAGGTGAATATTGCAACAATTCAATGTAAACTTGTCCTTCCATATTATCATCTCAATGCAGAGCCTCTCCATTTCCTAATTTAATACAGTGAAGGGCATGTTCTAAAATGGAACTTTGCCATATAGAAATTCATCTTATGTCTAGAAGGCATAATGAAATAATAACACCTTATTTCTACAAAGCATAACCAAACCATGGCATAATACAGAAGGCATATAACTACAAGGTGAAAGTAGATTCCTGATCCTTGAAACTGGTTTGGTAAACAATATAACATCTCCTTTTTCCTAATTTGGTATGACCACAGTGTGATGAAATGTTTCAAGCAAAGTAAGCTGTAAACCAAGAACTGTCTCCAATCCACAGACACAAAAAACATGGTTTGAAGAATATTCTGTAATACTGGTATGGAGGCATTTCCTGAATCATAGTAACTAGATATCAAAGCAACTATGGTTATAATAACCCAGAAAGAACAGGGGTACTATGCAAACAAGAAGAGGGGGTGAGAGGGAGTTTCTTATGTCTGTGCTGAATTGGGAACATAGTGATGGAACACATGCTCTTCATGCAGAAGTTCCCAGGTTCAATCGCTAGCAAGCTCAGGTAGGGCAAGGAATTTCTAGCAACCTCCCTGAAATCCTTGAGAGTTGTTGCTAGTCAGAATTGACAATACTGGACTAGAAGGACGAATAGTGTGACTCACTATCAGGCAGTTTTCTATGGTTTTATGGCATTCCTTTGCTCTCTAAACCACACATGGACAATCTGAAGAATACACATAAATTGAGTTATTCTTTCTGTCTGCGTATAAAAAAATGAATTTAACAACAATGGCACAGAGATGACGCAGCAGTGGTATATCCATTTTCAAAGCCAAATACAAGAGAAATTGATAAACATTTATTTACATACAGCTTGGTTTTCCATTCGAGTGAAAATGACATTCAGCATTTGAGTCAGGGTAGCCTTGGCAGTTGTCTGATTAATGAGATTTTTACTGGCTAGATAGATGTTGTAACAAGTTCTAACAGTCTGAAGGATCGTTCCCTCATGAATTTCTATATATGGGGATGTGACAGCAGTGAGGAGAGCCTGGAAGGAAAAAACAACAACATGCAAATACACATATCACAAAAAGGACATCTAAATAAAGAAGTAAAGAAGTTACCCTTTAAAAAAATGTATTGCAGAAGCATTATTAGCAATTTATGGCACTATTAAAGAAAAACAGTCTTTGAACCAAGGATAAAGGGATATATTAATTCATGTTTCTCATATCCCAAATCTTTTTTCAGGCATAGTCAGACTCAGTAGGATGCAAAGTACAGTATTAAGGGACGAAGTAGCCTTTTGATAGGAAAAATCCCATATCATCTTAACAAGTATTTTAGGTGATTGCTTTTTCAAAAAGGTCAGGGTCAATGTTCCCTCTAATTTTCAGTCCCTTACACATTCGACTCTGCCCCTCTGCACAACTCTGCCCTCCTCCACACCTCAGCTTAACTCATTCAGCAGATCTACTAACCCATATAGCATGTTCAGGTGTCTGAAAGAATTACCGTATTTTTCGCTCCATAAGATGCACCTCTCCATAAGACACACCAAATTTTTAGGAGAAGAAAACAGGAAAAAATAATCTGTTTTCTTCTCCTAAAAATTGGTGAGCCTTATGGAGAGGTCCGTCTTATGGAACACACCCTAGGACCCTTTGGGGGCTCACCCAGGGGGCAAAATCTCCACCTTCTGGGACTCTTTTGAGGCTTGGGAAGCTTCAGAAGAGTCCCAGAAGGTGGTGATTTTGCCCCCTCTGAACTCCGGCAGGGCAGGGTGAGTCTCTAAAGGGTCCTAGGGTGTGTTCCAGAACCCTTTAGAGATTCACCCTGCGCCCCCGGAGGTCAGAGGGGGCAAAATTGTTACCTTCTGGGACTCTTCTGAGGCTTCCCAAGCCTCAAAAGAGTCCGGGAAGGTGGCCCCGCGCTGGCCCCGTGGGGGTGGGGGGAACGTCGCAAGGGTCTTGGAAGGCTCACTCGGACACTTGCAACACTCTTCCACCCCCACGGGGCCATTGGGGCGAAATCGCCCTGGAAGATGGTGATTTCGCCCACGCTGGCCCCGTGGCAGGTGGATGGAGCATCACAAAGGTCCGAGTGAGCCTTCCAGGACCCTTGCAACGCTCCCCCACCACGAGGCCAGCGGGGGCGAAATCGCCGCCTTCGTTCCATAAGACACACAGACTTCACACACACACACACACACACATTTTGGGGGGGGGGAAATGCGTCTTATGGAGCAAAAAATACAGTACTATAGAGAGAAAGAGATGAGAAAGCCTACTTCTGCCAGCTGGGTTACATGTATCTAAATCTGGAGTACGTGCACATTTATAAAATGAAGAGGGATGTAGACTTTAAGGTCACACCATCCTATAACCTGCAAAACTTATCTGGGAGTAAAGGCATAACTGTATAGTACATCTTCCTACTCAAATACTGTATAAGACTCACTGAATACAGTGGACCTCTAATCCCAGGCAAATTTGTACATGGCTACAGCTTAAGTTTCAGTAAAATAATCCATAGTGAGTTGGCCCTGAATGAATAAACATTCAAGGTTTCTCTGAGAACTGCTTCGTTCCTTTCCCTCCTTAGTACTTCCTTCAGCTGGACTCCTGTACATTGAACACTAAATGCAGGTTCACTTTACAGTGGTGCCTCGCATAGCAATTGCTCCGTTTAGCAATGAAATCGCTTTGCGACGCATTTTTTGTGATCGCAAAAGCAATCGCTTTGCAATGTTCCCTATGGGGGAATTTCGCTTTGCAATGATCGGTTCCCTGCTTGGGGAACCGAGCATTGCAAAGTGACGATTTTAAAACAGCTGATCGGCGGTTTCGAAATGACCACCGGGTAAATAAAATGGCCTCCCCGCTGTTTTCTGGGACGGATTCCTTGCTCTACAGCCACCGAAATTGGCCGCACTATGGAGGATCTTCGCTGAACTGTGAGTTTTAAGCTCATAGGAACGCATTAATCAGGTTTTAATGCGTTTCTATGGGGTTTTTTATTTTGTATTGCGACGTTTTCGTTCTGCAGCGATTTTTGCAGAACGAATTAACATCGCAATGCAAGGCACCACTGTATTTCAGACTTCAATTGTTAAGCACATGTTTCAAGTTTAATATAATACAGCATTCTAATAATTTACCACGAAATAGCTTTTTGAGATCTATTGACTCTTTACTATTGCTGTTTATTGTTCACAATCTTTGAAGAACTCTATTACCCTGACACAAACAGCAAGTCAAATAATCAATATTTGAAAATTCCAAGTGCTATAGCCTAGAACCAAACGCAACCAAATGCAAAGACTAAGAAAAAGGCCCACTGGCAAGTAGTCTTTCTAAAATGGCACACAATAAAATACCTTTATTATCTGTAACTGTACTCCTTCATCAGTCTGAGGACCCTGGAAACAATTACAGATTGTTTCAACTATGCGGTCAATCAGACGCTTCCCAGGGGCTCCACTGTCTGGAGCATTGCCAGTGATATGCCCATATGCAATGAGTTTCTAGGCAAAAAAAGAGAGAACACATTGCATTATAATCCTTTTCAAACACTAAGCCCATTACATCATTCAAAATAATCAAAATGTCATACAGCTTCACAAATAGATCCTAAGAAGAGGGAGAGGAAGAAAAACTTTTAAATGAGTTGAAGTTTGAGTGGGTGGGTGAGTAATAAAACTTAACAAGCCCATCCTGCACTTAACACTTCCCATAAACTGATATGGCTCACTCACTATATATATAAGAAACGTTTACTCCAGAGCATGCCATATAGGAAATAGTGAAGTGCATACAAAGCTGAAGTATAAACATTAATGAAGCTTACAGAACAGATGCTTTAAAGAAATTTGTGGACAGTCTTGCACCATAGAATCACAGAATAACAAGAGTTGGAAAGGGACTATAAAGCCCTTGAATCCAACCCTTTGCTCAATGCAGGAATCCAAGTTAGAGTATTTCTGACAGATTGCTATCCAACTTTCTCTTAAATGCCTCCAGCATTGGGGCACTCACCACATACATATATGTGCACACACAAATACAAGATGTAGACCACACATTTAAAAAAAAAGAATAAATTTGTTTAGTTTAAATAGGATACCTGTAAGCAGTCTAAAGAGGTACTAACGATCCGTGGGGATTTTGACTGGCAAGCCAACTCAAATGGAAGGAAATATTTATCTGCTTCAATGAAGTTTGGTTTTGGTACATTTTCATTGCCTTGGCTGGTTAAAGAAATTGAAAGAAAATCACTTGTAGCATGTGTAAAATAAAAGCCACTTTTTGTATTATAACAGAAAATAACAAAAGCCCTGATTCTTTTCAGAATGCAAAATGTACATAAGTAGCCCAAGTCACACCTACCTTCTAGGTTTTGTTACACACATCTTTGGTAGTAATTATTTAAAACCTGAATTGCTGCTATCTTTAAGTACCTTATTGGGAGTAGGTTTGTCAGCAGGCATGTGAAATATTGAAACCTAGAGTTGGGCTCTCCAATATCCATACTTCTTAAAAGTCAGCATACACCGAAACACATGCAGATGTTCTCTCTGGTCTTTCCTACAAGCTTCTTACTAACAGCCTCACTTGGGCAAGATGACACTCTGTTAAACTCCACCCCTTGTACAAAACAATAGAGTTTGCTAACGGATGAAACACTATGTGGGAAGTCATTCTAATATGTGGGTATTTCAGGATCACAGAAGAATGAAAAGGAAATCTCCAACTGAACAGCATTGAATGACTCTCAAAAGAGGTTTATAAAAATTTCCCTTAAAGACTAATTATATCTGTTCTACCAATGTAGAAATCTTTTAGTGTGAAGCAACTGTTATAGCATTTCTTTGTCTTGTACTTTATGTAAAAGAAGAACTGTTCAAGTACTTTTAATTGTCAACTTTAGATTTAAACTTCAGTAAAGAAATCAGGAGTAAACTCATGCCACTAACATATGACTCTTATACTGTACGTATGAGATTTATTTCTCATAGTATATTCATAAAACTTTGGAACATGTGACTCCATTGCATAAAAATCCCTCACAACAAGAATAGATTCAACACACCTTCCTATCTATAAAACAATTCAACCGCATTTCCACATTTTCAGAAATGTGGAAATAAAAGAGATAAAATCACAAAAGGACAAAACCATTTTATTTCACATGTAAATACATTATTCTACATTAAATTTTTAGCTGGTTTCAGATATGGTGGTGGAGTACTAGGAAAAACAGAAAACCCACAATGCAACAGAAATCCAATATGGAAAATGGGGAACAGAGATTTCTAACACAAAATAATAGGGAAAAGCCTCATTACGGAACACAAAATAATAGGGAAAAGCCTCATTAGGGCTTGTCCTCAAATATCATTAAGCTGCATTTGTGCCAGGTATTTGTATCAATAAGAAAACAGATGCAAAGCACAACACAATAGAGCTAAATTCAAAAGCTACTAACATTAAAGCCACAGCTAAGCACCAACATACAGTTGTATTTAATTAAGCATTCTGGTAGGTATCTGTGGCCAAAACAATAATAGGCATGCACTTTATAACCCTTATGATCAATTCATAAGGGCTATAAAGAGAAGCTGCTAGGATCTTCTGCTAAAACATAATAGGGACTGAGAGAAAAATCCAGTTGAAAAGAAAGGAAGTGGTAAAACTTCTTTGAGGGAAGTCATTACATGTAACTGAAACACAGTAACAGTTTTACTTAGCCCACTCACCCACAAGAATTGCTTAAAAACGTATATATTCCCCAATCCCTTTTTTTTTTCCTTGAAAGGCCGTTACAACTGAAATTAGCTTTGGGTGCTTTTACAACACCCAAAGAATGGTACGTGCTGAGGTTGAAACGCATGCATCCAGAAAAAGAGAGACCACTGACAGCTGTGTGCATTGGTGATGCTTTAAACGTGCCACCCAAAGGATAAAGAGGGTAGCAGCATGCTGCCTTTCCATGCAAGGTGCCAATCACACCTGTGCTTTTAAAGAAGCTGCTTATATGCCTGCTCAATTGTTTAGGTATCTGTGGAGCCAGAGGTTGGGAGTTCAATTCCTCATGGGATAAGAGATAGCCTGTGTGGTTTTGGGCAAGCTGCACAGTCCCAATATACCCCCAGAAGGGAAAGGTAAACACCTTTTAAGAATTCTTTACCTAGAAAACCCGGGAAAGCTGAAATCAATTTAATGGTATACTACTACAACTATTATTATTATATATGCTCACACACTAAATGTTTTGATCTTAGGTGCACAATCAAGTTACAAAATTTACTCACCTTTGCTTTTCAAGTTCTGCTTTTATTTCATCTGGGGGGAAAAACACATAAACAATAGGTGGTTTATGTTTCAGGTTTACATTATGCAGAGTCCAGTACTTGACCAGAACTAGTAACTTCAGACATCGATCAGAAGCACATAAGCAACAGTATACGTGCTGTTCCCCTCCTCAGTTGTCAGTTAAAGGTACTACATAACAATATACACATTTCCTAAATGGCTTTTGAATAACACTTCCACAGGTCAACAATAAATCAGCACCAAATCATTAATCATATTGGGTAAAACAGGAGTGGGCTACTGCAACTCTCCAGATCTTTGCTGTCTACTACTCCTATCAATCCTATGCAACACAGTGTATGGGAGATGTAGTTCAAGAGCATCTGGAGGGCCAATTTCCCACTCAAAGGGCTGCTATCTGTCTTAGCCTAAAAAGCATAGTCATTATCAAAACTCTCTAAGCTTATCTAATCACAAAAAAGTCATTGTCAAGCAATTTCAAGGTCATGCGGGGTAAGCGTCTAGTGGGGCACCACTGTACATTCTTTCTTTTGTTCTCTTTTAACATAACTAGCATATCACAAGATTGCTGGCTTCATTAAATTGTTCAAGAAATATTTTTGCTACTTATTCTACATTTTAAACAGAAACTCCATTTCAGTTTCCACAAAATTTAATATGAGCTCACAGTCTGTTCTAGCTTACTACTTATGCTAGTATTCAGTATCACATATGTTTCTTCCTCCTATTGGAATTTAAATACTAGCGCCTAATAAGTAAATATACATAGTTCTCTCCCACATTACACATGGCATTCTTATGTGGCCTAGAATGGAAAAATCACCATATCAGCAATCCAATAATTGCAAATACTGTGCTGTAATTTAAAGATACAATTGGCAAGAAATTCTCTTAAAAAGATATTAGTCCCAGCTCCATCACCAAGTGGCAGCTACTTTGGTGGTTCAGTCACAAACACTCTTTCTGTTGTACTACTCTAAAATGATGTGGTTGTTGAACACAGTAATCAGCTCTGAAAAGGACACTGTCAGTGTTTATTTGCAGGCAGTGATGATGTGGCATTTAAGTTTCACAAGACCTGGGCTGTGTCAATACCTGGAAGGTTCAGTTTTTTATTTTAAAAAATCACATGTTTTGCAAGAAATAACACAATTGCCTTCAAGTCCAGACTAAAACCAGACAACCTGATCATATTGCCGGCTTGGGGAAAAGCACATCTGCCAGAAAAGGAAGAGGACTCATTTTACTAATATTGGATTTTTCCAAGCTTCAGCCATCTGTTTTATGTGGATGGACACACAGATATACATTCTCCAAACAAATCAAGCCACTTTTGTTCCTTGGTCACAATAAAGTTCTAGATGCTGTATAACCTAAAATCTGCATACTTAGTAGGTGATACAATTCATTAAGAGATTCAGTTTTGATTTGGTGAAAATTGTTTGTTTGGTGTCACGTTAGCTCAGCTAATGCCTGAACCTCCCCTAAGTCTCACAAAATTTCAGAGACCTCTAGGAAAAATCAGAAGCCTGTGTTTGTCACAGCTGTCATTTATCCCAGGAAAGATTTAATTCCGGAATGAAACCAAACAATGACAAACAATGGTATCAACATTCATGGGAGTTTCAAACTATAAATCTTTTCATTGTTGCAATAATTTCAGGCAACCTCAGCTTGTTTAATTCTACAACATTTATTTATCAAAATTGCTTCTATGCTCCATATACACAATATACTTCAGAGTTGTAAAATACAAAACAAAATCCTTCCTTGCAACTTATGAAAAGTTATAGGCGTGATTTTCATCCCAACAGTCATACAACTATGAGAAATTTCAGGCATTCAAATACAAAACTTAAGCTGTGGGCAGAATAAAATCATGTCTGAATTCAAAAATAAAACAGCTTAACAGCTAAAAAAAGAGAGGGGCACAACAAACAGCAAAGAATATTCCTCCAAAACACATCATTTAAAAATAAAAGACTTTATAACTTTAAGTAATCTTTAAGCTTATTTGAAAAGCACAGGAAAAATAACAAACCGTTAGAAGTAAAAATATATAAAGTAAAATGCATCATCTAGACTCTAAGCATATTATTAGACATACACAAAAAATACTTTAAGTGCTCAACCCAGCCAAATGAATTAGTTTATGGAAGAACAACCATGATTATTGTTGTTCTTAAAATCTGTATCTCATGGACTTACATTTCCCAAAATGTAAGGTTGTAAAACACTCCTTTTCATTCATTTACCTGTCAAATATTTTCATTCACAACTTTCTTTACTTCCACATGCTAAACTAGCTGGGTTGAATGAAATTCTTTGTAATACAGTATTTATGTACAGTGTGATCTTGTTCCTAAACTCTGCTGGTTATCTTACAGCATCTTTTTATAAACTAGAGTCAAGTCCTAGTTTTACAAGAACTTTCTTGACTGTTTGGACTAAAACCCTCCCTCACCTCTGTTTCTGAATATTGCTATTTCAGATCTATTCTTTTCTTTTACAGAGAATATGTGCTGTGCCCTATGTGTAACAGAGACTGGTATGGCTGTCAAATGATAATAAATGACATACTGAAAGATGAGCATGTCAATGAATTTGCGGTTCATCTCAAAACCCCTACTCCCAAGGGGTAGTTAAGGAGGAACAAGCATGAGGGCTACACACACATTCAAGAAATCTATTATTTCCAGTTATAAGTTATTTATTTTGTTTATTTAAAATATTTTACCCCATCTTTCTCTTTAAAAGGGCTGAAGGTGGCTTACACCATTAAAGACAATATTAAAGCTAACACGAATACCCTCATCTCTAGTCATGGTTTGTTTAAACAGTACAGGGCCCAGTTTGCTTTTTCAGTACAGAGAAATAACCCCAGAATGATGCATGGGTTTTTCCTCTGGCTTGTTGGGGGGAGAGACAGGGGAGAGTGCTGGGTCCTGCCGAGTTTAGATTTCATGCTGAGCAAACCATAGACAAAACAAATATCCATGGTTTCTTTATTTGTTCTACTTGCAGAAAGAGTAAGTGAGGAGCCTGCACCAATGCCCTGTATGTGATGTATGTATGTGATGTATGTATGTATGTCTATCCCAAATCTCTTTAGGCAACAGGAAGAGTGGGTCAAGCATTTTGCAGAAGGAATTACTGAGGCACAAGAGCAACTGAGGAGTTCTGAAGAATGGCTGCTTCCCAATAAGATCAAAACCTCATGTTCCATATGATGTAAGGCAATGGAAAAGGGACACTATACTGTAGTCATAGACCCAAACTTTCTGAATCAAGGCATAAATAAACACAGCCTTTGGGATACATAACATTCTTTGTGTTCAGCTCCATAGGGTTCTCTTCATACCACTAAAACTATTGTTTACAACCAGGCCCTCAGATGTATAATTGCTTCTGCTTGAACCCACAAAATAAAAGACTCCAAACTCACATTTCTCAGGACCTCCAAAATGGATTTCTCAGACCACAATACCCATCCAATATGGCTAAAGAACAAATTAAACCATCCAAGACAAATACTCAGAAGCAACTTACCACAAGACCCAGAAAACAATTGACTACCACTAGTTGTCACTTTCAGCCCACAACTGAGAACAGTCACATCATTTTCTTCAAGAGGAGGACACACACACTTGTGTCCTTCTACCTACAGGTAGAGATGGCAAGAGCCATTTTATCCCAGTTCATAAAGGTGGCAGCGCAGGTGCTGCTGCTCCCCTCCCCCTGCTTCCTCAGTCAATCAGCCACTCACCAGGCCCAGCTTGCTCGCTCTGTCCACCTCCACAGCTAATATCCAATCACCAGCAAGAGCACAGACTTCTCTGCCTCACCCTTGATGAACTGGTTCATACCTATCTCTATCTACGAGCAAAAACTTTTCTCTTTAGACAAGCTTTTGCCAACTGTGGAGAAAGGGACTTTTATTAGGCAATGGCCCACTTTAAAACAACAGTGACTATTTAATAGGCAGCATTGCCTATTAAAACAGCAACATTTCAATTACTGCTCCTCTAACTTTTAAACAAATGAAAATAAATCATGTGGAAAATGGCAGCTACCATATGTAAACAAGACAGGAAGATTCTGCTTATCCATTTTAAAGGCATTTTAATATCCTCAGGTTCACTCTCTACACACATAATACTTCAAAACAGAAATGATATTCAGAACACTAAACCACCCCCCACAGATTTGACAAAAAGCAATATTACAAATGCTTCAGGCTGTTTTGAGGAAAAAGTGGCTGTACCTGAGATTTGAGGCTGCAATAGCGTGAAGTGTTTAATGCTACTGATGTGAGAAAATCCCAAGATAGGTATCTTGATTACTGATGAAAATTATTTACTAAAAATTACTACACAAAATTGACTTGTTATGTCAGCCAGCCACCTGTAATTGAGAAATTTATAATTGGCACTAGCAAAGGACATTAATACATGAACCTGAGGCTGCAATAGCGTGAAGTGTTTAATGCTACTGATGTGAGAAAATCCCAAGATAGGTATCTTGATTACTGATGAAAATTATTTACTAAAAATTACTACACAAAATTGACTTGTTATGTCAGCCAGCCACCTGTAATTGAGAAATTTATAATTGGCACTAGCAAAGGACATTAATAACAAAATATGTTATGTCATATTTACAGAATAAGCCAGTGACTAGAGTCTCACTGAAAAAAGATTTAGAATGTAACTGCTATATATTTCTTTTTTTAAAAAACTGTTTTGTTCATCTTGTTCATGCAGTAAATGGAACTTGGGAAGAATCTATGCAAAATAAACTGCTAAATTATGAACAATCCACATTAAATTCTAGGAGAATATCACAATCTAGTTCTAATCAAAGGTTTTGTGGAAAGATCAAACCTTTTTATGTCAACAAACTGGAATCAATGAGAGTATGTGATTTATATCATTGTGGTGTTCTTGGGTATACACCTTTAATTTTTCAAATAAAGGTGACTGGATGACACTGATTCCTAAGAAACACTTAAAACATTGCACTTCTTGATAAATAAAACATAGCCTCTGCTTCCAAAAGGAGGTGTCTGGGTCTCCTTCACCAATATACTATATACCCCTAAAGCAATGCTTCTCAACTAGCACTATGCAGAAGTAGCGTGGATAAGGGTCAAGGTAATAAACTGTATTATCACATAATTATTGCAATAATTATTTTTGTTTGTGTTTTAGTTATACCAACAAGATTTATCCGCAGTGCTACTGTTCATATTTTATTTATTTTAATATTTTATTTAATATCATCACAGCACTGTAAGTTATAGTCAATACAGTAGTACTATTACAACAAAAGAATCTTTATTTTGTTTGTGCTTACTCCCAATGATACTGCTACCATTTTTATAACTGAAAAAAAGAATGCCTCTAAATACAGATGTCCTTCTTGGGGAAAATACCCTTTTGGTTTCTATAAAAGTGGAACTCAAGTTGTTTGAAGAGGGTGGCTGGCAGGATGTAAGCTGTAGAAGGCTGAGCACCACTGCCCTGGAGAAAAAAGTACATCTTTATGTGCAGAATGTACAGATATGCATTGCATCAGCAAAGGTCCCTGCAAAGTAAAGGGCCTCATTCTATTCTCCTGATAATTATGAAGACAACATCAGAGCAACAATTAATAATAGTACAGCCACTATTAAATAGTATAACAGAGACACTGAAGAGTGCTATCAGATGAAAACATAAATAAAGTGTAGGAGGCTGAAGAAAAGGAAGTTTGCAATAGAAAAAGATTTTTAAAAATAGTAATAGAACATGGAAATATGGGTTTAGGGTATTCTGTGAAAGATTTCTGAGAAGCGATGTGGTTACAGCAGATAAGTTAAAAGTAGAAGTTGCTCAATAGAGAGAAAAAACATAGGTTGTTAACTTTTATCTCTCAATTGTTCTCCAATTAACTGCAGCCTTAATCAGATTAAAACTAAATACTATACAAAGAGTAAAAACTGTTAGTATGGACAACATATTGCAAACTGCATTTAATGCCTTCTAAGAAAAAAATAGTAAACATCTCAATGTCCAATTTGTTTAAAATACACATTTAATACATTTCTAAGTTTTGCAGACTATTTGGAAATACTGCAGAACTTAAGACAGAAAAAAGTGCAGAGCCAAATTAAAGAAACTGTAGTGGCTATGTAGGCTGATATTTCTTCATTGTTTCTAAAATCATATTTATTAGACACAAATATTTATTGGAATTATCCCAGATCTTTTCCAAAACATAAATAAATGATGTACTCATTAACATATATATATCACCCTCAAAAAGTTTAAAAACAAGAGCCTAATCATAAACAGTTGCAACTACTGGATTCATTAAAAAAAACTGCCAAGGATTTTAGTTAAGAATATTGTTTCACATGCACACAATCCACCCACTCAATTACAAGTAAAACAGTTTTTACCTAGATCTAAGAAACATACAGTAACTAGCACTGCACATTTCCAGGCAAAGGGAATCCTGTCCCTTCTTCCTGAAGAACTGATTCCCCCCCCCCTTTATACAAGCACTCTTGGCCAGGGAATTCTTGACACTTCCTGCCAGAAAATCAGGACAGTGGTCACCTGCTCACAAGCAGAGGAGGATCCAACGTGGCAGATGAATCGATGGAACCATATCTTATGACAAGCTCAAACTACACTCCTTTTAAACTATACATTATTCTCTCTCTTCCTCAGACAAGGAAGATAGAAGAAAATCCTAAGGACCCTTGTCAAAGGTGGTATAAATCCTATATCTACCACCCCTTATACCAAAAGTAAAGCAGGAAAACAATACCTAACTGAGAACAGTCTTTTATTTGAGCAGGAAGAGGCATTTCTGAGTTGGACAATATCTGACAGGACTCCCTCCATCATTCATCATGGACAGAAACGAAGCTTGGATATCCCGGGACTTTATCTTTCTTTCTTTCTTTCTTTCTTTCTTTCTTTCTTTCTTTCTTTCTTCACTCTCTCTCACACACACACACACACACACGCGCGCACACACACACACACACACACACACACACACACACACACACACACACACACACACACACACACACACACACAGGGGTGTCCCCCTAAGTTCCGCTAGCGACCTTTGCCGTTCCTCTCCTGAGATAGCCTGAACTCAGTGACCCCTCGGCCGTGGGGGGAAAGCTGGGAACGGAGCATCAGTGGTCTTTGACAAAGTCATCTGTCAGCCTCGCCTGCGATGTCTCTGTGGAGCCGTGGAGCCTGGCAGTCGGGAGACAGGATTCTTGGCTGGGGCAGTAGGGACTGCTCCGGGCCCTTCCCGCTCACTCCCCCGTTCACTTACCGAGTGCCACCTGGCAGGCTGTCCGTAGTTGCCCGTGAGGGGGCCGTTTCACCTCTTTCTCGGAGAGGATCTTCTCTAGGGCCCGGGAGACAAACATACTCTTGGTGCGGGTGTCCTCCTCGCGGGCCGGGGGCTGCATGGTCGTCGTGAGATAAAGGCCGCCACTACCACCTCGTTGTCGCTATGGTTTGTCCCACGCAGGGCGGGGAAACGGCAGCCTCAAGGGCTCCGGAGGCAGCTGAGCTCCACGGTCCGGAAGAAACACGACTCCAGCGGAGGTGGCCGCGGTGAACGACAGCGACACGGCGCCGCCATGTTGGAACCGTCACGTGACCTCCTCGCCTTGCGGCCACCTTGTCGAACGGTTCCACGGCTCCGGCAGAGGCGGTGACGCGGTGGGCGGGGCTTGCTTCCAGCCCCCGGGAAGGAGAGGAGAAAAGGCCGCGGTTGGGCTTCCCTCACGTCACTGAGCTGGCAGCAGAATGAGGGAGGGGCGATCAGCTGGTGTAGAGACGTTGCCTTCAATTCAGAATCTGAAGGGCAGTTTATAACTAGTATTGAAACAACACAGACTACTAAAAAGCAGTGTTAAAAACCAGTTGCAGAGAGAATGGGACGCTTTCGTTTCAAAATAAATAGCAGTTGGTATTCACTTGGTTTTAGGATCTACTGGTCTTTTAGACCAGATGGGTGGGGTATAAATCAAATAAATAAATAAATACTGTATGTGTGTGGTCTTCCTGAAACAACTTTTGTATATCGGTTGAAGGAGCCACACTAGTTTTCTTTTAAAATGGTTGCATTTGAGGTTTTGTCCTCCACCAGCCTGCCCCTGCACTGACGTGTGTGCTGGGCCTTTGTCCTCCACCAGCCTGCCCCTGCACTGGCGTGTGTGCTGGACCGTGTGGGGTTTATCAAGTAATGGATACGAGTTTGGAAGGCAAAAGCTGAGGTTAGCAAGAGGTGGTAAAAACAACAAAAAAGCATTTTTCAGGAACATGCATAGGAAAAAAACAGAAAAGAAATACTAGCTCAGTTACTCAGTGGAAATGGGAAAACAGTAAAAGATGACAAAGAAAAGGCAGAATTGCTCAATTCTTCCGTCAGTTTATCACCCAAAAGAAAGTATGACACTCCAGGCAAACATGAAGTACAAGTGGCAAGAACAGGCCTGCAGCTTGAAATTGATAAACAAATAGTCAAGGAATACCTTGCTACTTCAAATTAGTTTAGATCTTCAGGGCCGGATGATCTGCATCCAAGAGTATTGAAGGAACTGGCTAAATATCTCTCAGAACCATTGTCAGTTATTTTTGTGAAACTGGCTAAATATCTCTCAGAACCATTGTCTGTTATTTTTGTGAAATCATGGGAGATGGGTGAAAATGACTGCAGGAGGACTAGTATTGTTTCTATCTTCAAAAAAAGAGGAACCACAGGACAATCAGGCTGATGTAAATTCCAGGAAAAAATCTAGAGCAAATTACAATGCAGTCACTCTGCAACCATCTTAAAAACAATGAGGTAGTAACTAGAAGCCAAAATGGATTTCTCAAGAACAAATCCTGCCAGATTAATCTGTTCTCATTTTTTTAATTGGATAACCTCCCTGGCCGATGGTGAGAGTGCCATAGATGTACCATATTTTTCCATGTATATGATGCTACTTTTCCCTAAAACCATTAAACTAAACATTGAGGGTCATTTTATACACAGAAATAAGCTGAGGAGAGAACAAAAACGGCCCCTACCTTGCCTCTGCAAGCAGGCCTCCTCCAGTCAAGAGCCTTATGTAACTGACATCAGCTGATGCTGAACAAGCCAATTGCAAACATCCGTTGGTTTTTAAAGATGCCCATTGAAGGGGCCGCACAAATCTCAGGAGGAAGGTTATTCCAGAGGCGAGGAGCTCGTTTTTTTCCTTCTGGGCCTCCCTTGGCGTCACACACAAAAGACCAGCTAATGACACCCATCAACCACAGTGACAGATAATCTCTTCTCCTTAGCACAACAATACACCCACAACAAGACACACTAATCACCCATCTACAGAAAAAGACAAAAGCCTATCTCACAGCCATAAATACTGCACTCCCAAGCCAACTACACCAGAGCACAGAGTGCTGTCCTCTGAAGATACCAGTCACAGAGACTGGCAAAACGTTAGGTAGAACAGCCTTCAGAACACAGCCAAAGAGCCCGAAAAACCCACAACAACCATTAGATCCTGGCCGTGAAAGCCTTCGTGAATACAGTTTATTAATTTATTTAGAAGGTTCTGGCCAGGTCAATAGCTCTAAGCCAGGTGGACTTAGCTGTTGTAAGAATGCTAGGAGATATTTCTGGGACAGAGGCCAGACCCTATGAAGGGAGGCAACTATTGTATACCCAGAAGATATTATAGAAAGCTGGATATTAATACTGTATATGTTTTGTGCTAAAATGTCTTGATCCCTATCGAGACCCTAGGGATACACTGGAATTTGTTTATGTAGCCATTTTTTACAGTCTCCCTCTCAAGTCTACATGTGCAATTCGTCTTTCCCCCATCATACTTTACTTTACTTTAATTTTATTGAACTTATACCCCGCCCCTCTAGACAAAGTCTATTCGGGGCGGCTTACATGAGTAATAAAATAGAATAAAATAAACATACATAATAAAACCTAGTAACAGGTGTCTATATACATATATACATTATCAAGATGGGATAGTTAAGAAACAGAAACAGAAAATAAGTTAATTGACTGGAGGGAAGGCCTGCCTAAAGAGCCAGGTTTTAAAATGGCTTTTAAAAACACCCAGCGAGGGAAACAGATGGATTTCTGTTGGAAACACTTTTAAAACAATGCAGAAATGAATGGGCAGCCAGTGCAAAGCAACCAGAGTGGGGGGAGATATGCTAATATTTCCTCATCCCACTAAGAAGCCTGGCTGCCGCACTTTGCACCATTTGAAGTTTCCACATCAATCCCAAAGGCAGCCCCACATAGAGTGCATTACAATGGTCTAACTTCGAGATTACGAGCACGTGGACAAGAGTAGTGAGGGCCCCCCCATCAAGGTATGGTCACAGCTGGGCAATCCACCATAGATGAAAATAGGCGGAACGGACCACGGACACCACCTGGATTTTGATGGTAAGCGCCGGATCCAGATCTATCCCCAAGCTGCGAACCTCGCTCTTTGTGGTGAGGGTTGTTCCCCCCAAAAGAAAGGGAGTCACCCAAACTGCTGATGGAAGGACCACTTATCCTCAAGACCCCCATCTTGTCCGGGTTCAGCCTCAACCCATTCGACTGCATCCGTTCCAGTACAGTCTCCAGGCAGCGCTGAAGGGACAGAATGGCATCCACTGAAGTAGGTGAAAAGGAGATGTAGAGCTGTGTGTCATCAGCATACTGATGACACAATGCTCCACATCCCCTGATGACCCCACCCAGCGGCCTCATGTAGATGTTAAACAGCATTGGAGAGATGATCAACCCCTGTAGAACCCCACAATTGAGGGTCCATAGGGCCGAAACATTCTCGCCAAGCTGTACTCTCTGGGGACGGTCCTCCAAGAAGGATCGGAGCCAGGCAAGCGCCAGGCCACCGATTCCCAGCTCAGAGAGCCTCCCCAGGAGGATACCATGGTCGACAGTATCGAAGGCGGATGAGATGTCAAAAAGGACCAACAAGGACATATTGCTCCCATCGGCTTCCCTCAACAGGTCATCCAACAGTGCGACCAGTGCCATTTCCATACCATAGCGCGGCCTGGAGCCTGACTGAAAGGGTCCAGGGCATTGGTTTCATCCAGAAACATCTGAAGCTGGTCTGCCACCACCCTCTCCACCACTTTACTAAGGAAGGAAACATTGGCGACGGGCCTATAATTTTCATTGTCGTCCACCGCCAAATTTGGTTTCTTCCTAATGGGCCCAATGAGTGTCTCCTTGGAGAGACCCATTAATTATTGCGGTGGCCCATTCTGTTGTTACTGGCCTGGCTGTTTGATTAGCCAGGCCGGGCAAGGGTCAAGAGAGGAAGTGATGGCCCGGCAGCGATCAAGCACCTTGTCCACCAAATCTGGCATCACAGGCTGAAAGAAGTTGAGAATTACCAGGCAAGGCGGCGCGCTGGACATCTCTGCTCGATCCATTGTGTTTAAAAAAGGAGAAAGGTCACAGTGGATGGTCTCCACTTTTGATTCTAAAAAAATTCTGCAAATTGGTCAGGCGAGATATTAGTGGGAGGCCTATCACCCAGACCAATTCCAGATAGATCGCAAACTATATGGAAAAGTTCCGTCTGCTGATTAGAAGCTTCGTTTATCCCGGTCAGCGAAGTGAGATCGTCTCGCAGTCCTTACCTTCGCTAGGTAACAGTTAGTTGCGATCCTGACAGCTATCTTGTTATAATCCGTCGGTTTCTTCCTCTAAATGCACTCTAGCGGTCTCCTCATTTGCTTCATTGCTCGTAGGTCCCGGTTATACTGTGGCCCAGGCCAAGCTCTGCAACAGAAGATGTTTAGGAGCAATCGTGTCTATGGCCCTAGTGGCAGCGGTAAACCAGCCGTCCACCAGAGCTTCGACAGGAGCACCAGACAGAGCAGCTGGAATCCCTCTCATGGTGTCCTGGAATCTCAATGGATCCAGTAACCTTCAAGGGCGGACCATTACAATAGACCCATGCTCCCTGTGGGGGGGGGAAAGTGCCACTGTGAGGTTACATTTTATTAGGTCGTGATCCGACCATGACAAAGTCGGATCACCAGCCTCTTTCAGATCCATAAAAGACTCCCAAGACACCCTTCTAAATACTTGGTACAGTGGTGCCTCGCTTAATGATTGCCCCGCGTTACAACGAATCCGCTTTATGACAATCTTTTTGCGATTGCGATTGCAAAACAATGGTCTAAATGGGGGAATTTCGCTTTGCGATGATTGGTTCCCTGCTTCAGGAACCGATTCTTCACAAAACGATGTTTTTAGAACAGCTGATCGGGGGTTTCAAAATGGCCACCGGGTAATTAAAATGGCTCCCTGCTGTGTTTAGGGACGGATACCTCGCTATACAGGCAGTGAAGATGGCCGCTGTATGGAGGATCTTCGCTGAACTGTAAGTTTTTACCCCATTGAACGGGTTTCAACGCATTGAACGGGTTTCAATGCGTTTCAATTGGGTTTTTATTTTTGCTTTACGATGTTTTCGCTTAACAGCGTTTTTCCTGGAACGGATTATCGTCGTTAAGCGAGACACCACTGTACCTAGAAAACCCTGATGAGGTAGCCATAAGTCGGAATCAACTTGGTGGCCCATAAGCATTAGCCATAGGAAGTCACAGAGTAAGCTCCTTTGAATCAGTGGAACTTGGAGTTAACTCATCAAATCTCCA